TTCGCCTCCAGCCTATATCATGAGCCTGAGTTATGCGTGGGAGCCATGGTTGGTGAGTACGATCAATTTTGATCTACTCTACTGCTAGTTCTCCCGAGATTTGAATTGTTCCTTAACCTTCATGCACGTTCTCACGTTCTCTCGCTGACGCGTTGAGGAGCTCAATGCTCCATAGACGGTCGGGCCCGTGGGTCCTCACTGTCACACTGCCTATATGGTTTAACCAATAATCACCCCTCTGTGGAGTGGACTAGAGTACACTGCGTTCCCTGAAGTAAGAGGGATTTGCGTTTCTGTGGGAACCCCTCCTTTGTGCTTCTGCTCTGAGGAGCAGTAAGTTCTATACGCATGAATGGTTATTGGGTCGCACTATTTCTTCAGATTCTATCAGGTCTGGTTATACGGGAGACCGTGTCCAGCTGCACCAGTGGACTGTCTCTTATTGGGCCCTGCTGGGTTATCCCTTCTAATCTAGCACCCCCTTCTGGTCGAGCTAAGGAGTGCTCCCCTCTCTGTGAGGGTTAGCTATGAGTCGCTCCGTGGCAGTGACATCAGGTAGTTGGGCCGCTTGCTGCTTCCCTGATAAGCTGCCTCTATTTGGGTCAAGTCAGGCAGTGCTCCCCTCACCTCAGAGGGTTGTCTTTGAGCCTGCCACTCCCGATTGAGTGGCTGAGGACTTCTGGGCATCAGTGAGCAGATCTCTATAAAATCCATACTATGGTAAGTGCACACGCTAAGCTTCTGCACACTTTCTAAAATCCACATGGTGGTAAGTGTGCACGATAAGCACTCTGCACACTTTCTAAAATCCACATGGTGGTAAGTGTGCACGCTAAGCACTCTGCGCAATTTCTAAAATCCTGTATGGAAAGGGTTACACGTTGTCAGCCTCGTTCCCTTTCTTGGCTTAGTGAGTTGGCTTAGGGCCCGGTACTCGCCTTGGGCTCCACTCAACTAGTGTGTCTCTGTTGATACATTTTTAAATCATCGCTCCCCTCACTGTAGAGGGTTATGAGCATGGTGCTTTCTTCTGAGCGTTCGAGTTCTCTCCCCTTCTGAGGAGTTGAATTCCCCGCTCCGTGGGCTGTTCTCGTGGTGGTGTTTAGCAGTGCTCCCCTCTATCAGAGGGTTGCCTATGAGCACGCTACTCCTTTCTGAATTCGGAGTTCTCCTCTCACGTGGAGAGTTGAGTTCTCCGTTTTCCCAGAGCACCTGGAACCAGCAACATCAGGCGAACTAGGCCCTTCCTCTGCCTCCCTGATGCGCTGAATTTTTGGCTAAGCTTGCGGTATGCTTACCCCTTCAGGATTTCTAACGAACATGCTGTAGGTCAAGCCCCCTCTTGGCTGAGAGCTGGGTGTTATGCTCCCTCAGCTAGGTAACTTACTGCTAGCCATTCCAGCATTATACGATGAGGATGAGTTGGTGACTTCTCAAACGTATTGTTCTTGGGATGCGCCATTTCCATCTATGGACTGCTCCTTCAGAGTGCCACAAAGGCCCCTTAGAACTGTATTTTTAAAATCCATGATATGGTAAGTGCGCAAGCGAAGTCCCTGTGCACTTTCTAAAATCCACGCTGTGGTAAGTTCGCACATCAAGCATTTTGCGTTCTTTCTAAAATCCTGTATGGTAGGGGCTATGTGCGGTGGCTTCGTGCCCTTTCTTTGAGTCGGTTAGGCCCTCGTTCCATATTGGGCACCACTCTACCTATGTATCCTCAGGATACCTACTTTAACAGGGTGTTGCTACTAGGGGTCTGTTGAGACAGTTCCTTCAGCAAGCTCATGCAGAACAAGCGGTAGCCCCCCGGGTGACAGGCCAAGACCTAGTACGATTCTAGGTGCTTGGTCGTATCCTCTTAAAGGAATCTCTTCCAGATTCCAAGCCTTTGAGCTCTACCCTGGGCCCAGGAGTCCTGGCCCTAACAGGTAAGTTTTTTTGGGGGTATGTAGCTTAGGCCTTTGGCTGTAGGGGGTAATGTCACTGACAGCTGTCTAACGTCCCAGGGGCAACTCCCTTAAAGCTTTGGTAGAGTTGGTACTTAGTGCTCACCTGTGGTTTGGCATGCACTCCCCTCAGCATGGGGGCGTGGGTATACCGTTCCCCATAGCGACCCCTAGAGGACGCAGTTCGAAGTTCCCATGAAAGGGAACGTCTCAGGTTACTCATGTACCCATGGTTCCCTGAGTAGAGAACGAGACACTGCATCCTCTAGTTTCCCTGCCATGCTTCGGACGCAAGATTCAGACGAAGAAGCAGATGACATGTTCTCCTGGCGCCCTTTTATACTGTGATTGCACAGGGTAATGACATCATAGGCTGTCACCGGCCAATGTTATTGTCGTTTTTAGATATATGCTTCAGACACCGGTCACACTGAAGGTGTTCCCCATAGCGACCCCTAGAGGACGCAGTGTCTCGTTCCCTACTCAGGGAACCATGGTTACATACATAACCTGAGACGTTGTTGTAGCCATGGTAACCGCAAATTAATCATGGTTTTGTTACTTCAAATAATAATTCAAAAAGAAGTATTAAGATGATATTCTTTTGTGGTTATAAAAACAGACCTAAGCCAACAATAGCCTTTCAAATGACTTAAAATGCATTATATAAAAACAATGAGACAATAATGATTGGTTAATAAATAATTATATGGTTTTCAAATCCTTGTAGGCTATTGACCAAACATTTAATTCAAATATCCACTTAATCTTTTATTTTTAACCTTTTTGTTATATATAGATGGCACAGCCTCTATAATTTCTTCAAAGAAAAAACATGTGGACATCACGAACCTTACCAAAATTAACCATGGTTTTATCTTAGTAAAACTGCTTAATTTTCTTTTGCATGATTTCTGAATGCTTGAGACTATAAAATCAATAAGACAACTGTATTATTAAAATCATAGCCATGGGTAACTGTCTAGATTTGTAATTTGTAAATAATACAATGTATTTATTTACTTTTATATTTTATTAAAGTTCTATTTTGACCCCTATAGTAGTTTTTTTTTTTTTTTACATCCATAATAATGGTTTTATCTTAGTAAAACTGCTTAATTTTCTTTTGCATGATTTCTGAATGCTTGAGACTATAAAATCAATAAGACAACTGTATTATTAAAATCATAGCCATGGGTAACTGTCTAGATTTGTAATTTGTAAATAATACAATGTATTTATTTACTTTTATATTTTATTAAAGTTCTATTTTGACCCCTATAGTAGGTGTTTTTTTTTTTTTTACTTCCATAATATTTGAGGGAGGGGGGGCACAACAATACAATCCTGCTTAGGGCACCTATTTTACCAGCAGTGGTCCTGTCCATGATTAGAGTTTAAAGTCATTCCCTTCCCTGGCATAACGTTATTTTGCTGTAGCCTATGTGTGACTGTGAGGGACGGAGAGATACTGAGAGATGACATTATTGAGTTTGCAGTCAATCAATCAATCAATAAATAAATAAATAGAACACGTCTTGAGAGTCTAAAAGCATTCACCGCGTGATGAAGCCTATTACAATGTCCCTATAATTCAAGCTATGAATGAAACAATATCTCTGAATGATTATTTTTTTATATTTAAGCAATAGCACTCAAGTAAGAGGGCTAATAACATTGAACTTTTTTTGCCGTATTTCTTAAACAAGGCTTTGCCAAACAACAAAATTCTTTGACAAGTGTTTCACGAATAATTTACATAGATTAACGGTCCCTTTTCTTGTCCATGGCTTACACTGAACTTAAAAGTCCACAGTATGAATGAAATATAGGCCTATACTTTTAGTCAGGTCGATTTTCTCTTTAGGGATACTCAGATTTTTAGGGGTGCCAGTATTTTGACACCTGTTCTAAAAAAATAAAAAAATAAAATAAATAAAAACACCATCATCATCATACAATGATAGCCTACGTTATAATTTTATAGTAATTCGTCACATTTTATGTATTTTTTTTCTTCGAAAAATTTGGATTTATTATTATTATTGTTGTTGTTGTTGAATTAAACAGCATACGTTATTTTCACCGACCATCTTGCTCATATTTATCAAGGGTGCCAATTTTAAAGTGCTGCATGTCTTTTTTTTTTCTTTTCATTTATGTTGTTGTCTAAAGTTGTCTGATGTTTTTCTGTTCTCTGCTCTTTATTGGCTAGTTTTAGCCTATCACAGAATATTCTGAATATTATTAGCCTGTTAGCTTGTATAGCCTAATGCAATATTGTTACTTCTGTAAAACCATATACGGGATCTTCAGTGTAAGAAGCTTTCTGAATTTTTCTTTCTTAATTTTTAATTTGTATTTTTGCATGACAGTGATGGCTAATATGAAATCCTATAAAATAGCTTAAAGGGGTCATATGATGCTGCTAAAAAGAACAGTATTTGGTGTAATGAAAAGTGTTTATGCGGTTTAAGGTTCAAAAAACACATTATTTTCCACATACTGTACATTATTGTTTCTCCTCTATGCCCCGCCTTTCTGAAACGCGTCGATTTTTACAAAGCTCATCGGTCTGAAAAAGCGAGGTGTGCTCTGACTGGCCAGCTATCCAGTGCGTTGTGATTGGCCGAATACCTCAAGCGTGAGACGGAAATGTTACGCCCCTCGCATACTGTTGATGCCGTGTCCGGCCGGGGCAACGATTCAAAAACATGAAAACCCATTACAAACGAGGCGTTTGTTGCATCCAGTGGGGACATAATTACGAAAAATTGAAATCGCATCATATGACCCCTTTAATTAAATGTAAAGTCTCTTGGTGAAACTGCAGTTACCATGGTGAATTTTGGTCGGCAGAACACAGCTGATGTGTCATTAGAGAGAGAGAGAGAGAGAGAGAGAGAGAGAGAGAGAGAGAGAGAGAGAGAGAGAGAGAGAGAGAGAGAGAGAGAGAGAGAGAGAGAGAGAGAGAGAGAGAGAGAGAGAGAGAGAGAGAGAGAGAGAGAGAGAAAGTTCATTTTGGCTGCTTTAACCAAGTTGAGGGCGGTGTTTCTCACTTTCGCTACACTACACTGCCCAATTTTGTAAGAAAGGCGAGGAGTGTGTGCGGCGGCGGCCTCGCGCTTATAATGGCTGCCAGGAAAAGCAGAGCAGAGGGAAATCAGCTACATTGGGAATAACACCGTGCAAAGGTAATGCTGCTCGTGTTTGTCTGTATGTGTGTGTGTGCGTGCAGCAGGACTCTTTGTCCGAGCATGTGTGTCGGGCTGCTGCGCAGGTGCATGTGCCGCTGCTGGAAGGGTTTTGTCATGAAAAACACCTTCAACTGTTACTGTCACGGCAACATATGAGCATCGAGCATATCTGCTTTCGCGTGATGGGCTGCTGCAATTATAATATCATGCTTGTATCCTATCATGCTTGTATCCAGCCGGAGAGGAGAAAACAAAGGCGCTGTGGGCGAAAGAGACAAAACCGACAGGCCTTTTACACAGCACTAGCACTGCATTACAAACACAACACGCGATTGTTTTCTTGCGATTCCTGCTTGACTACTCACTCAGATTAAACAGTGTGTGTGTAATCTTAGTTTTGCCCTTTGATCGCTGTTTCCTCAAATCAAGCTGTTTACACACACACACACACACACACACGTGTTGGCAGCGCTGTCGCGTTTGTTTACCATTTGCACTAATGGCGTTTTAACATGAGAAATCACCATGCTATATCTTTGCACACGAGTAATGCCTAATTTAGTGGAACTTTCATTTACCTTTAGAATGATTAACAAGAAAATTCTAAATGCTACATTTTTGTGGCATCATCTTTCACTCAGGTGTGTGTACGTTTTCTTTCTTTTTTTTTTGTCCAATCAAATGCCTTCTAGAATGATAAAGTCCCTCCCACTAACGTGTAATAAAAGGTAATAGGCTACCCTACAAACACAGAACGCTCCTCTAACGTTCTCATTTGGTGTTTTTTTTGGGGGGGAACCAAATAAGAACGTTCTAGGAACCCTGTAGGTTATTTTTAGTTGTTTTTTCATAACCATGTAAACTAACTAAAACTTTGCAGATGCTTCTGAGTGATGACCAACAGAGAGATTATTCTAATGCTGAAAGGTGTATTTTTTTCATAAACTATATTTTGCAGAATGTCATGTCTGAAACAAGCTTTTAATAAAGTGTAGACATTAAAGGGGTCATATGATGCTGCTAAAAAGAACATTATTTTGTGTATTTTGTAATGAAATGTGTTTATGCGGTTTAAAGTAAAAAAAACACATTATTTTCCACATACTGTACATTATTGTTTCTCCTCTATGCCCTGCCTTTTTGAAACGCGTCGATTTTTACAAAGCTCATCGGTCTGAAAAAGCGAGGTGTGCTCTGATTGGCCAGCTATCCAGTGCGTTGTGATTGGCCGAATACCTCAAGCGTGTGACGGAAATGTTACGTCCCTCACCATACTGTTATATTTCTTCAGCGACCAGCACGGATCAGCTCTAGGCATGAGGAAGCGGATATTGTCCTCTTTTGGACGACCAAACAAAGTAGTTTCGCTTTCACAACGAAACACACAGCGCCTTCACGACATGGCGGCGGCGGCGGCAACAACAATACTATAGCGAGAATAAAAGTTACGCCTTCTTTCTTTGCGTGAACATTTGGGCGGCGTTATGCAAATCTTCCCACATAGTGAGGTAGATATGTGGGGGCGTGTTAGAACGAGCCGTTTTAGGTAGGCGTGGCTGACTCTTAACTTTTATAAAGAATATCTCTTTGGATTTGAGACTTTAGTCTTTGCAACTTTACAGATCTTCTGTATGCACCAAGAGCTTGTAACACTCCAAAGAGAAAGGAAAAATTGAAATCGCATCATATGACCCCTTTAATTGACAAGATAAATCCAGTTTTATAGCTGAAATATTTAGCCAAAGTTAAGCGTAGTCTGAAAAGCATATCATAAACACCTGGGTTTGTTTGCAACTTTCTTTACTGCGTGATGAACGGTCATTTCGTTTTACTGACCAACTAACATTCGTTTATTGATCTCTTTATATGTATATAGCCTATACGAGAGTATTTATTGAGATTTGACACGTCTAATTGAAGAGAACATGATGTTTACCGAGAACTTCCCATCCCGCTAATTCAGTGGTAAGAAATTAATGTAATGTTATCCTAGTAGGCAGGGCCCTAGGTGGGGTGCCATGTTGCATTTAGCTAACAGCTTTTTTTAATCTCAGTATTTTAGCATTTGTTGATGCTGAAAATCAGTTATACTGGGATCCTGGTCTAAAAAAAAAATTAAAAACGCAAAACACTCTTGATGCGAATTCTTTGCTCTTCATTTTCTATAAGCCGAATTAACAGACCCTGTTGTATTTTCTTGTAATTTATTAAAAGAAGGTACACTGCCATCTTGTGCCGACTAAACTGACTTGAATGCACCTGACGTCATAATTACGACTTGTCAACTCGTAAGTACGAATGTCCCAGGAGGACTTGAATGCAGCATGAGATGCGGCACACAGATGCGCACTGAACACAGCGCGTTACTTGGTTGAGTTCTTTTGCGTCTACTTGTATTTAAATGCTTTAAAATCTCTTGAATGTTTTAATTGGCAAGGCTTAAAAACACGTGCAAATTATAAGCTTTCGTGACAGACGTGCAGCAGTGGCCCATCAACTGTCATGAGCATATTTCATGCTGGTCTCAGGTAGTTGCCGGGGCCCCCCCACAACCGTGGGCCCCTATAATCGTCACCACCTTTCACCCCACTAGCCGGCCCTGCTAGTAGGGGAACGTTCCCAGAACCTACCGCGAATGTTCTGGGAACGTTCTATTTACGTTATAAGAAAACTTTCCTGGCAGGCAAACCAACAGGCAACGTTCTGGGAAACAAAAATTGTTAGCTGGGTAGTAGAACCAACTCATGGTTCATGACTGTGACATTAACTGCTGGCTATTTAAAATGGGGTGTTGTCTTTCAATGTCCCGCCCTACTGTCTTGTTTCAGTACGAAATAAGTGAACACAAAAAAGAGAATTGGACTTGCATATTATAGGTGCAAGGAGTAACAAATGTAGTAACCAAATATTTATATATTTTTTTATTTTTATTTAATTATTTTTTTTTTAAATAAAAATAGACCCATATCTAAACAACTTCAGCTCAAAATCTGCCTTTTAATATTTTTTTTTTTTTTAAATAGAGTTTATGACAAAAGATTGAAAGGGTCAAAACTCGAGCTTGAACTAAATATTTTTATGGGTTTGTTATTGTTTATTTATTTATTTTATCTTTCTCCTTCATCACTAGCATTGTAAACGCCAGACATTGTCTGTTGGTTGGTTTGGTTATGTTTATGTTATAAGTGGTTATTATAAGTGTTGATAATAACGATGCAATAATAAAAAAAATGGACCATTGAAAGAGACAAAGCAGGTTTGCGGGTAACTGTGGAGTTGACCAACTAAGCATTTGAGAGACTACGTGACACTTGCAGATGAAAATAAACTTAAAACGACAAAAATGCAAGCAATTAAAAATAAAAAAACTTTTCATAGAGGTCATTTGGAAAGATCTGCTCAAGCCGTTTCAAAAATCAAAGGTTGTGACAATAGCAAAAGACTTCGTCCAGTTATAAATATTAAATGGGTTCAAAGTTGACTTGGTTTTTAAGTGGTCCTGAATGTGAACTCCTAACACTACTGTTGCTCTAAAAGATGACACATGACATTCATATCTTTGGACACTAAAATATTGTCAGTTTTTCAAAACATGTTCTTAGAAACGTCTTTTAGAGAAACTGGTATGCAGCAAATAAGTGAGATAAAGCCTACTCTGTTGTATTATCTTGAAGAACCAGATTATTGACATAACTGTTTCATTATGTAGCGTCTGGCTAAACACCCACCCACTAGACCGAAAGCAGCTGATATCTGACTCGCATGTAAAGCGAGCAACCACAGTTTGCTTTTTACGTAAAATCTGAAAATTGATACTATTACGTTATACAGTTAGTGTACAACAAATTTCAGCTTGTTCAAATAATGGCACAACCGTGTTTGTTAAAGTTTGAAAAGTCAGCGTTAGTGGAAAATGACTTGTGATCCGTGGTAACTCATTGGCTACATTGGTGATGCTTTGCTAATAATTGCCTCAAACAAAACTGAATACCTTTCATAGATTCATGGCTTTGAACCCTACAATTGTTGGCTAAATCTGTGACTAGTCATAGCCTGCTGCCTCATGCTATTAAACAGTTTTCTTTCCTGGCAGACTGGAGAAAAAAAACAAACTTGCACACCCTGACCCCCAGAAGTTGTGTAGCGGTCAGTCAATGCAACTGGAATTGGCAGCTCATGCCAGTTCAGAGTGTAGTATGCATCGGACAGTCTGTCTGAGACTGAGACTAATTGTTGTATAACAAGTGATGTTAAGAGAAACTTGATACTAGTGTTGCTTTCGTCAATGAAAATTATGACTAAATATCGTCGTCAACGAACCTTTATCATGTGACGAAGACGAGACGAGACGAAAATGCTGGTCATGTGACGATGACTATATTTAAATGTATAATATACATTTATTCGTATTGTTGACGAATAAAAACAAGACTAAATGTGGTTTACAAAATAAAAACTATGCTAAAATGTCTCTTCATTTTCGGCACTGCGCAGACGCAGGCGACATCACTTCCTCAAGCCCCACTCGCGCAGAGCCATAGAAGGAGAGAGTTGCGTCAACGGAAGTCCAAAACGCTCAATCGTCACGTGATTCACGTAGACCTCAAATAGTTCCAGGAAGTTCATAGCGGGCAATTGAAATACATTGAGTTGTGAAGACTAATCTTGTTTAATGTTTTTGATTCTTATAATATATAAAATATATAAAAATATATTTGTAGTATATTCCAATTTAAAACAGCTTAAAACATTTTTACACATTTAATCATATATTTTATGTATGTTGACTTTTGTTATGCACTTATTTACAACAATCGATTTATACATTTATAATAAACTATAAAGCATGTTGTCCTTGAACAGTCTCCACTATAGTTTGCTGTGCTGCATGGGAGTGCTTCTAAAAAGAGACTAAAATACAATTTTCATTTTCTAAAATTAGACTAAATGTCATCAGTTTTCGTCGACTAAAACTAGACTAAAATAGTCATGGATAATTCTGACTAAAATAAGACTAAAATGCTCAGACTTTTAGTTGACTAAAACTTGACTAGACTAAAAAGAGTATGAACGTGACTAAAACTAATAAAAACTAAAATGACAGCTTCACACAAAGACTAGACTAAAACTACAATTAAAACAGGCCGCCAAAAACAACACTACTTGATACAACAGCTTGCTGCTGTAATGGACCATAGACTATGAGCAGTTTTTTTCTCCTACAGTACAGTTGAAATCAACATTGCAGATGATATTGATCTCAGTGTCATGCCAGCTGGAACCATAGTGATAATGGAGCAACATCCCTGCTTTGGAAAAGGAGTGCGCTTATAATAACATTCTGGCTGATAATACGGTTATAATGATTTTCATATATTGGGCATTATGTGACCAAAGTGGCCAAAAAATATGTATACTATTTTATACTATAAATACTTCAGATTTATATTATAGAATGTACTGTCTGTACTATAATATAAAAACTATAAATCAAATAATTTTACATGTGAATTTTGGAATCACAACATTATATACAGTATGAAAACTGGATATTCATGTTGAGAATTGCTAAAGATTAGAGTTTCCTTAAAATACTCACAGAGGGAATGATGATTATTTTTATTACTTGAAATAAAAAACTGAAATGAGACAAAATGTATAGGCCTATTAAAAAAAACTAGTTGCCAGAGCAACATTTGTAATTTTGTTTGGTTTAAAGGGATAGTTTACCCCAAAATGAAAATTACCCCATGATTTACTTGCCCTCAAGCCATCCTAGGTGTATATGACTTTCTTCTTTCAGACGAATACAATCAGAGTTATATTAAAAATGTCCTGGCTCTTCCCAGCTTTATAATGGCAGTGAATGGGGGTCGAGATTTTGAAGCAAAATAAAGTGCGTCCATCCATCATAAAAAGTGCTCCACACGGATCAGAGAGGTTAATAAAGGCCTTCTGAAGTGAATCGATGCGTTTGTGTAAGAAAAATATCTATCTTTAAAACTTTATAAACCGTAATCTCTAGCTGGCGTTTCAGCGGATGACGTAGGTGCAGCAAAAGCACCGGCACGTACAACAGCTAGCGGAAACTAGAGATTACAGTTTATAAAGTTTTAAATATGGATAATTTTCTTACACAAACACATTGCTTCACTTCAGAAGGCCTTTATTAACCCCCGGAGCCATGTGGAGCACTTTTAATGATAGATGGATGCACTTTTCTGGGCTTCAAAATCTCAACACCCATTCACTGCCATTATAAAGCTTGAAAGAGCCAGGACATTTTTTTAAAATAACTCCGATTGTATTCATCTGAAAGAAGAAAGTCATATACACCTAGGATGGCTTGAGAGCAAGTATGGGGTAATTTTTATTTTTCAGTGAACTATCCCTTTAAGTTCAAGTACTAAAATAGTTAAAACTAAACTAAAAAAAAAAAAAAGGGCAAAAACACAACACAATTGCCAAAACTTGATCTAAAATACATAATAAATTAACATCTAAAATAAATTGATCTACAAATACATTTTATAAAGTCTTTAGTTTGTCAGTATGGTAATAGTATATTGTGAATACTTTTCTATTAGTGTTCACTTTACATGGCGTTTGTTGTCTACACTTGCTTAAAAAAAACATTTAGGCATTTCTGTTTGGTGCTGCTGGTGGAGCAAAAATGACTTCAGTCACAAGATAGGCTTGTCATTTAAAAGTGGCTTTAGATACAAATATCTTCGTGACTCCACTCATGGTATACTGTGTGTTTCGGCTTTCTTTCACACCATACAGGTGAGGAAGAAGAGGATGGTGAGCAGTCAAGCCAAGTACGAGCTGATCCAGGAGGTGGGCCGGGGCAGTTACGGTGTGGTTTACGAGGCAGCTGTACGGCAGACCGGAGCTCGTGTGGCTGTGAAGAAGATCCGCTGTCACTCCCCGGAGAACGTGGAGCTGGCCTTGAGGGAGTTCTGGGCCCTGAGCAGCATCCAGAGCCAGCATCCCAACGTCATCCACCTGGAGGAATGCATTCTCCAGAGAGACGGTCTCGCCCAGCGCATGAGCCACGGCTCCAGCTCCTCACTCTATCTGGAAGTATGTGTCCAACCTGCAAGCACACCCAACACAAAGCCCATCGAGTTTAGTTTTGTGTTAGGTTTACAAGAGGCAAATCAAAGAACATGATGGCAAACCAGAGGAAATGCATATCACTACATTCATATGTAACCCTGGAGCACAAAACCAGTCATAAGGGTCAATTTTTCGAAATTGAGATGTATACATCATCTGGGGTCACATATAGTTATTACATACTAATGAATGAACGTTTTGGGGGGAAACTTGAAAAATCTGGGTGTTGACACTGAATACTCAACCAAATCAAACCTCTTTCAGTAACCATAAAGTGAACTGTTTTAAAAAAACTCTTTCCACTCAAGTTTTCATACATTCCTGCTGTTTGTTACCCATTCAATAAGTCGATGAAATAATAATTATGATTTGTGTTCTAGTTTTTACATAAAAACAAGACATATATTGTAAAATGAAAATAAGTATTTAATAAAAAAATACAAAGGATTTTATAGTACAGCTGTTTAACAACAATATTATTATTTACATCAAGCATTAAACCATCACACTTTTAGTTGGTTTTCTAGCAAATAAATAAATATATATTGAGCTGCATGCATGTAAATGAACACTGTGCCGTGAATAATTATTTAAATAAAGCTTTTGCAATGAGAATCACACTAAGCCATTTTGTGATACCAGTAAGTTGTGCAGCCCTATTTTCTATACTGTTGAAGCGTAGCTATAAAGCTTCTTTTAGCATTGTTTTATCATTGTGCTTTTTTCATGTGACAACTACATTATCCATCATTCTTTCCAACGTAATCATAAAATACATAAAGCATCAATTGCACCCCTAATGTGCAAAACGGAAAATGAAAATGTCCCTTGCGCTCATTTTATTCTGAAAATCACACATTACGTTGCATTTACTACTTTCGTAAGTAGGAACTTCCCAGAAGAACTTAAAGGCAGCATTACAGCATCACTGTACAGGTGCATCTCAATAAATTAGAATGTCGTGGAAAAGTTCATTTATTTCAGTAATTCAACTCAAATTGTGAAACTCGTGTATTAAATAAATTCATGAGTTGAATTACTGAAATAAATGAACTTTTCCATGACATTTATTTATTTATTGAGATGCACCTGTATAATTTTGGGTTTAAGACCATGTCCACCAGACACTGACCAGGCAGGTTTCTTAAGTAGTGTAATGGACAGATTCAACAAATAAATAACTGTTTATGGCATAATACTATCATTGTCTTCACAAACAGTGCATACATACAGATTTGACTGATCTGACAATCTAATAGTGACTGTGCGCAAGATAAAGTACAGCACAGTAAAACTACTTGGACTATGCTACAAGGCAGATGGCACTCTGTAATATAAGTGGGTGATTACAGTATTGTATGCCCTTTTGTGTCGGGTCAAGTCCCATGAAGACGTGAGGATGTTGTGACTGAGTGGAAGTAACCCAGAGTGCACAGTAGCACAGTAATAGGTTGTTATTCCTGGCATTTGAGATGAGGTTGATTAGCACTCTTGCTGCTATAATTACGAGCCTGCAGAGGGCCATTTGTCTGCTGACCTCTGTCTGTGCAAAGCCTTCAGCATCTTCAGCATCAGGTAAAGTGACATTTCACACATAATTTTGAGGTTGGCACCGTTTTTAACCTTTAAAGTCAATTTAACCATGCTTTTGGTTGCTTGAATGTTAGCAAGAGACAACCAATAATAAACTAAACAATGCCTGGCTCCTTAAATATCCATGCGCTTTCACATAGACTTTCACATACTGTAGTATCTTAGGGAAATAGTTAAAAAATAACTAGAAACATCTGAGTGTTTTTTCTTGACCATAGATAGTCTGACCGGTATTGCCACAGGTCACATGTTCTTTGTGTGCTGTTCTTGTCCAATCACTTGTATTAGTCTTGTAAAGATACAAATAACTGTTAATCCAGAATTTACAAATGTACAGTGTGAATATGGAGTACATGTATTGCATTAAACCGGGTTAAAATGACCCCGTGTTTACTATTTCAAGTGTACAAAGCCCATTTGTTTTGTTTAGGGAAGATAGATTTGAATCTAAAGAAAACCGTCTTATGTTTTGAACAAGCTTTTTGAGAAAGCAAAGCTAATCTTGAAACATGAAACCAGTGCGGAGGTTATCAAGAGAAGGATGTGGTTAAATGTGCCAACACATGACATGCAGCAGTAACACGCATCGTGTGGACAGCATTGTTGTTGCTGTGCTTCAGATGAGATAGACTTTAAGAGATGTGCTCTGATTGGTTCCCTGTGCAGACAGATGGCGCAGCATTCATAGGTTGGTGCTCTGTTTTGCAATAGCCTGCAATGGTGAGGAAAACCTAAACCCGAAGCTGGTTGTGTAATTGCATAACTTGATAGTGTGGACTAACCTATCATTCAGTCAATATGATACTTGTCTTGCAAACTGTCTTTGTATAAGACACCTCTACTTTATAGCATGTATAAAGCTACTCTTAATACCCCTGACAGCATAGATATTTTTCCGTCTTTTTTGTGCAAGATGACAGACTGAGTGGAGAGAAATTAATTATACAAATGCTTGAATTTTAATTCAGTGCTGCAAAGTATAAAAATGGCTCCATCCAATTCAAATGAGTAACTTCTCCCGTTATCTGTGTTTGCTATGTATTTTTGTGCTTACTGTTCTGCATTCCATTCAGTCACAATTTCAATCTTCCTAAAATCTAGAACTTTAATTTTATAAAGATGCAATGTGTGAAGTCAGGTAAAAATGCTGACTCCAAGGAAAATGTGCATGGACAATAACAAACATTTACTTTTAATAGTCAGCTGCAAATATGGCTTGACCCCAAAAAAATTCTAACAAAAGGTTTCTCAGTGGTTTACAGTAGTATCAGATGTACTTAAAAACATACTAAAAGTTTACCAAAGTTTGACTCCAAGAAAGGCCCCATTTTCAAAATGGCGGCCGTCAGGTCCTTAAAATGACCTTTACTCCTTTGTATTCCTCCTAGACCAGGAATACTGGTGCCTGATGCATGTTTTGGCGATGTGTAATATTCTAATTAGCATATTTGCATGATAGATAAGTGATTACAAGTACAATTATATATTAAAGCAATTGGTTACAAGCATATTTATGGTTTTGGGGTTTTTGCCCGGTCTTCTTCTGTCGACATTTTGAGTGTACTATTTTACCAGTGGAAATGTGTACGTCGTCGCCTCTTTGTACACTTGCATTGTTGATTCCATCAGCTCCCTTCTGATGAACCTCAACCACATCAGAGCCATCTCTTAAGTTTTTACAGCAAATGGGGCAAGTTTCTTGGTTTACAACAACATGACTCATGGTCAAAATTGCATTTGGAGTGTACTTTTTCCTCAAGCTAATTCAACAATGTCATCCTCTCTTAACACACTCGCATTGTTGGCCTTTTTCATGTGTTAGAAATCTGGGGGGGTCATCCTTGAAGTTACTTTTGGGTGCAATAACTTTTACATTGAATGTCAAATCTGTGTTTTAGCAAAAAAAGGGTATGTGTCCAAAAACACGTACCGAGTAGGAGTTACATGACATAGGCTAAATTGTTTACATCTCTGGTTCACCCCAAACAATGATAAAACCTTACAGTAATCTCACAAAATCATGTATTCCATAAGTATGTAATCATGTCAGTGCAATTTAGACAAGTCCAATGGATTCATAGACCCAGAAAACATGGGGTTAGACACCAAAATTACTTGGCTAGGTCAAATAATGAAGGAGTTAGGATATTTTAAGGGCTTCCTGCCCATCTTGGACACCATTGAAAATTACACCTTTCCAGTGGTCAAACTTTGGTAAACTTTTAGTATGTTATTAAGGACACCTAATACTACAAAAAACAGCTGAGAAACCTTTTGTTAGAATTTTTTTAGGGTTAGGTGTTTTTTTTTTTAATATATGCAGCCTCCTATAAGCAAATAATTTGCTTCGGTGAGTCCAATTTCCAAAATGACCTATTAAGTAAATGTTAGCAGAGACAAAACACAGTAAATGATCCTCGCTGTTGATAATCATAGCATCATTTATCCACCACGGCTTGCCAGGAGACAGTCAAACATTTACAAAGTTAACAGTAGCATTTTTTCATACCTCAACTTATGTGTGCAATGCAATATCCTACATCCAACTATGTATAGAACACAGCATTAGCATACCATCAGCATAACACGCTAGCATCCAACTCAATACCAGCTCACTAGGTTTTGAAAGAGAGCTGTTGTCTCTCTCTAAGTGATTGTGTTTTGATGGATGTTGATGTGTGATTATAGTCTTTTAGTAGCATGTGGGTTGTTGTGAGTCATTCTAAGATTTCAGCTACAATTTGGCTTCGTTCCCAGAACAGCTTCAGTTTTCTCCTACTAAACTTCCCCTAGAGTATCCTCAGCAAGCAAACAATACTAGAACAGGATTAAATAACTGGAAGTTAAATTTTTTTGTGCTACAGTCATGAATGATCCCTCAAATCATGCAGTTTGTTGAAGAGAAGTGTGCCATCTTATTTCTAAGTGATCTAACTTATGATTTCCCCCAGTGGACAATAAAACAAGTGAAAAAAAAATCCATGGACTTGAATTGAAGGAGAGACCCAATCTTTTGACTTGGTTTCTAGATGGTTGCTTACTGGCCCAAGCAGTGCCCTAACAACCACCCTAAACCTCTCAGCAACCTTGTGTTAAAACCCCACTTACAACACCTTAGCAGGTGTGTAGCTACAACTTAGCAGACCACACAACACCTTGGCATCATGGTGCCAAGTTTTGCACAGGCAAGCATTCCAGTAGCTCAAACAATAGAGCATGGCGTTAGCAACCGCAAGTTCATGGGTATGATTTTTAGGGAACTGAACTGAAAAAAAAAAATACCTTAAAGGGGACATCAGATGCCCATTTTCCACAAGTTGGTATGTTTTTTTTAGGGTCTTCATGAAATGTCTGTAACATACTTTGGTTAAAATTCCTCAATGATCATGTAAAACAACACCCTTTTTTACCTTGTCAAGAACAGCTCTGTTCACAGTTTCGGTGAATGTCTCTTTAAATGATAATGAGCTACTGCTTACCCCACCCCTCTCTCCCGTAGAGCGTGTCGACAAGACACATGAATATATCCGTTTATGGCTTGGAGGTGGTCTTATTCAAATATCTAGCTATCTAATGGAGAAACCGGCTGCAAATTGAAACAGCTCGCTGGATGACACCATTTCAGACTCAGACAGCCCATAGCAAACTGGTTGTGTGTTTTCTTTTAAGCTTTACTGAGCTGGCAGACATGCCAGAAACCTAACCAAATGCAACAAAAAAGTGAATACTTCAACCAATGTCCCCTTTAAATGTGGTGTAAGTAGCCTTTGGATAAAAGTGTTGGCCGAATGTGTAAATGTAAATTCATCACTCAGGAAAAGGAAATATTGAATCCTGTTGACTTAATATCTTGCACAACTTTGCATGCATACAAATTGCATTTATATACTTTTTTTGTAGTTAACTTTGGGGTATGTTTTTGAGCTCATGAGAAGCGTGTAAGGACTTTTACCAGCCCCACTGAAATGCTCAGATAACTATGATGTGTCTGACTGACTTCATGTCAGTTAATTGAGTTGTTCATTAGCCAAAATGAAATTACCCTGCATTGTGTGTATTCCCCATGGAACTGTAAAAATATCTATTTTCAAAATGATTATTCATAATATTTTAGATTATCAGATATTACGAGAATTTGGCCTTGCATATAGTGGCATTTCCATAATGAAAAGTTGGTTATGCAAGTGGACATTGCACATGTTCTGTTTACACTTGAATTGAGTAACTTCTGTAAAATAAAATCTTTCAAATTGTATTTGTCATCTATCAGCCATTCTACTTTCTGGCTGACGATAGTAGAATTGGCCATTAAAAATCCTGCAGAAGTTGACCACAAGTATCAGTGCGTAATTCTATACAAAATCTGAACCTTTACACCAGGGCTCTTTGACTCCAACCCTCGAGGCCTAGTGTCCTGCTGAGTTGAGCTCTAATCCAAACCAAAAACACTTGAACTAGCTAATCTAAGCTAATGTTGAGAACTACTTCCAATTTACAGACAGGTGGGTTAAATTGGGAATGGTACTAAAGTGTCCAGGACTGGAGTTGAAGAGTCCCATTTTACACAACTGGTTGTAACATTTTTGTATTTATTTATATCCACTCAGTTGGTGGAGACCTCCCTGAAAGGTGAGATCACGTTTGACCCCCACTGCGCCTACTACCTGTGGTTCGTCATGGACTTCTGTGATGGTGGAGACATGAATGCCTATCTCCTGTCCCGCAAACCCAGCCGCAAGACCAACACCAGCTTCATGCTGCAACTCGGCAGCGCTCTTGCCTTCCTGCATCGCAACCAGATCATCCATCGAGACCTCAAACCTGACAACATTCTCATCTCGCAGGGCAGGACCCCGGCCGGGTCCCCCGAACCCACCCTGAAGGTGGTTGACTTTGGCCTCAGCAAGGTCTGCTCCTGTTCGGGCCTGAACCCTGAAGAACCGGCCAGCGTCAACAAGTGTTTCTTGTCCACAGCTTGTGGGACTGACTTCTACATGGCTCCTGAGGTCTGGGAGGGCCACTACACGGCTAAAGCTGATATCTTTGCTTTGGGGGTCATCATATGGGCCATGGTGGAACGGATTACATTTGTGGATGTAGAGACTCAGAAGGAGCTTTTAGGGAGCTACGTACAGCAGGGGGAGGATATAGTCCCATTGGGGGAGGCTCTGTTGGAGAATCCCAAGATGGAGCTCCACATCCCGGCTCGGAAGAAGAGCATGAACGCTGGCATGAAGCAGCTGATTCGAGAGATGCTGTCCGCCAATCCACAGGAGCGACCTGACGCTGTTGAGCTGGAGCTCAGGCTGGTTCGGATTGCATGCAGGGAACTTGATTGGGATACGTGAAAGGACAGCATCTTGGAGATGGGGCAAACATCTAGGACAATGGAGCTTGAAGTGAACGTAAGAACATATTGTTTGGCCCTGTCCGAAATGGCACACAAGGGTCTTGTGGTCTTCACTCGGGAGTGTCCAGAAGACCGTAGGACAAGGATCTCGAACCCTTCTCCTGGAGAGCTACTGTCCTGCAGACTTCAGCTCCAACCCTGCTCCCACACACCTGCCTGTAATTTTCAAGTAACCCTGAACACCCTGAGTAGCTGGTTCTGGTGTGTTTGATTTGGGTTGGAGCTGAACTCTTCAGGACGGTAGCTTTCAAGAAGCAGGGGTGAAGACCCCCGCTGTAGGGTTTCCCATTTGTCAATTCAGTTCAGGCTCCATTTGCTGAATCCACAATGGTTTGGACTTTTATCTAACATTATCTGTGCTGTGAAGAATAGATTTTTTTCGAGGAGTACCACATAGGCTGAGGGTGCCGTTTGGGACAGGGCCTTTGTGGGCAGGAGTGGGTTTTTAGAGGGTTATTGCACTGGTCCTTGGTTTTTTCTCGATACTCTTACAGTTTAGTACAACTGATTCATTGATGATAAACAGCCTTTACAATGTTAAATGCTTATTACGGTTTCACCTGTTCACAAGCACATTGTGACCTTAATCGACAATAGTCCAGATGGGCTTCAGACGGGTTTTACTAATGGAAAAACATCAGATATCCAACTTCCATTGACCATAAACCACATTGACCCAGATAAACATAGAGGTCCACAGAATTCTCAGAACATTCCAACACTAATGGTGCTTTTCCACTGCATGGTACGGCTCGGTACGGTTCACTTTTGGGGGGTTTTCCACTGGGTACAGTACCTGGTACCTGGTACTTTTTTTAGTACCACCTCGGTTGAGGTTCCAAGTGAACCGTACCGTTACCAAACTGGGACGTGTAAACTCTGCTGATCACGAATTGGCCGGAGAGAATTGTCACTACCTGCGTCACTGAACGTGTGACACAAACACAACAGAACCGCTAGATTTAAATCCGCACAGCCAGCGAAGGATCGAACGAAACTGTTTTGAACGAGCGCGCCTTTTTTTAACAACCAAAAAGTGGCTATTCCCCTTAGAGGCGGCGCAACTATAACGACGTGAATAATCCCGCCCACTCTAAAGCGGTACTGAACTGCAGTGAAACACAAACCGAGCCGAGCCGTGTCGTACCGTACTGAGCCGAGCCGAGTCGTACCACGCAGTGGAAAAGTGCCATAAGACATCAGAGAGCATGTAGATTAGGGCTGGGTGATTATAGCTAAAAGTATATATTTGTAAAACATGTTGGCTTCATGAAAAATTCAATATTTGCTAACTGATAGTGTTTATTTTCTTTGCTCATGAATTGGAAGAATGCATGCAAAAGTGGTCTACTGGCATGGTCTTAATGGCTAAAAACGGCATTAAAATCATGGTCCATATTCATCATGTTTTATGTTACCCACAACATAATAGTGAATATATCGTGTATATATTCAAATTAACGCTCAGCCCTAATGTAGTTTTAATACAGCACAGCTAAAAGACTCATGGCTTCCATCTTTCTTGGGAACTCTTTAGTTCTCTATGAGAGCTGATCTCACCTCACTCCCGGTGCTAATTCAACTTTAATGCAAAGTGGAAAACATGCAGCAAATAACGGCTTCTTTTACAGCTGCCTTGATTTTTTTTTTTTCACAGTCAATTTAGGAGCATTTTTACAACAGGATCAATATCTGTTTTTCTGTGCTTTACGCACAAAAAGGCTTCAGGGAGTTGTATTTGTATCACTCAATTTAAAAACATTTTCTACAAAAAAAAATTACAAGGCAATAGTTTATATTGTGTCAAAAGACATGTGGTAAATTATTCTGTAATATTTGTCATCCTGCTGAATGGATGAGATTTCAATAATCAGTGAATACGCATTTTAATAAAAAAAACACAAGTGCATTGAAGATCAAAATTTAAGGCAGTTCAGATATCGTAACTGACAGACACGAATATAAACACATATATTCTGTCTTTACCTCATCAGAAACTGATTTTGGTGCTATAGGCAGCTCTGTGTACGTGTGAAGGATGTGCATCCATTTCGGAGAACCAGGTATTAAACAATTCAACATAAACGAAAGCCTTGATTTGAGAAGCTCTGGATTGTGGCTTAATTAAATTGGTGCTTTTCACAAAGAGGTAAAAAAACTAGGGAGGTATTTTATTTTCTGTTTGTTTGGTATGAGCCTTGCAATTTTTGCTACCCATTACCAAAATTCTGGACATGTCTGACAGATTGAACCATGATTTCTTTGATAACAGGTTTGAATGGTTGAGATTGGCGAATGCAGTCAATGCTACAATTTGTGTAAAAATTGAGAAAATGAAATTTACTTCCTGCCATGCTATCAAACTTCCTGCCAAAATAAATAAAAAATAATTTTGAAAGATATTTTGAAGAATGTGGGAATCCGAAAAGTTTCTGGTCCCCGTTGACTTCCATAGTATTTTATTTTATCAGTGGTGAACAGCAACTGTTTTGTTACCAACATTCTTCAAAATATGTTCTTTTGTGTTCAGCAGTAGAAAGGACTTCATACAGGTTTGAAACCGCTTGAGGTTGAGTAAATGACAATTTTCATTTTTGGGCGAACTATCCCTTTAAGAGAATGTTGCTGATTCCTACATTAATTGCTTTAAACAAAGTAACATAATCTGTACACTATTTGTGGAAAGCACCAGCTGCTCTTTCAGACAGCAGAATGACTCCAGTTGATTGATCGGAGGATTCCCTTAAACATTGACTTGAAATCAAAGACTGAAAGTCAGTCTAGAATAGACCGTGGCATTGTGGTGGAAGTGAGTTGACTAGAGATACTTTACATCTAATGATCCTCATATGAACGCTCTGAACAACCAGCCTCGATTAAACACACGAAACCTCACGTATTAGCACTGAGAGCGTTACTTGCGCACTAAAACAAACTCCAGTGTACTAATGCATGCCACACCTCTCACCTTCAGGGAAAAGCATACAGGGAGTGTGAACGGATATTGATGCTAACACACACACACACAACCGTAAGCCTCTCTGAGTCGGGGATCTCACGCCTTTGACACACAATACCAGCGAGCTGAATTTGATCTCCACTTCACTGTGTCATTTTTGCCTGGAATCCCAGAGTGCTGAATCTTACCGGTAATCCCTTCTGCCACGCTCACAACAGACTAACGCTAAGCCTGTTACGTTCCCGAGGAATTAGGTGGAGAAAGCATTCCCTGGGACAGAAACTGCCATTCAGGTCTATGTTTTGTACAATTTTACAGACACTTCAGACATGAGCCTTCGTGGCAGTAGTACCTCTGTCCCTTTAAACACAGGACACGTCTTTTCCTAAGTGACAAGCGGAGGCATTAATATTTAATGCTGTGTGTATCCATACTTTTTTTTTCACCTTGTCAAGTGGGGCGTGCTGTAAATGCCAGAACCAGCTAAATTTAATTCCAAGCAATGGCTTAAATCATCTGTCTCAAAGTCCCCCCCCCCCCTTTGTGGAGGCTTCTCTTCCAACTGTGGTTTTATGCTATAATCCACATTATCGCAAGAATAAAGGATAAAAGGATTATTTCTAAACAGCCACTACTTCCTAATTTCCCAAATATTGTTTAATCTTCCTTTTCGTTTAGATTACCATAATTTATGCCTTATTTTTAAATCCTATTGCCCTTATGAGCACTTGATTGGACCGTGCTTTTCCTGAAGTTCTCTCAAAGGACAGAGCTATGTTTGCCTGACAAGCACTTCGTTGTGTTGGCTAGAAATAATTCTTTATCAAGTAGTGCTGTTTGTCAGTATTAATAAGAGAACTTCATGGATGGGGTCTATGTGTCCTCCAAGTGATGTGTTGTCAACTTAAGCATTAATTAAAGTATTGAATTGCGCAGCCGTGACGCCGACATGCAGATGAATGTCATTGGAATGTAAGACCGTGGCCCGATGGAAACATTGTGGGAAAAGAGCAAATTATAAGAGAAGTGCAATGTTCACATCGCAGTTGCATGTGTCCCAAACCTGATTTGAGACTGATCTGTTTTTCGTCGAGTGTGAACAGCAAAATTCCCATTGAATCTGACTAATATACAGTACTGTGCAAAAGTCTTAGGCCATTAGTATTTTCAACAACAACAACAACAACATGCTCCTTTGTGTGTCCATAGGAAATATCAGTTTACATTTCCAAACATAACTTTTGCCATTAATTGTAATAATCCAGTGAGATTTGCGTTTGCACAAGGAGTCTGACAGCAGCCAGTGCTGCACACAGAGATCTGATCTCAGCATCATCTAGTCTGTCTGCGTTTACATGAAGAAACAGAACAAACTGAGACAGACTAAATCCAGAAGAACTGTGGCAAAGTCTCCAAGACATTTGATGAAACCTTCCTGCAAAACTTCAGTACTGTGAAAAGTTTTAGGCACTTGAGTAAAAATGCTGTAAAGTGAGGATATTTTCAAAACAATGCCATATTTAGCAATTAACTTCTATTAACTAAATCAAATCAATATTTGATGTGACCATCCTTTGCATTTAAAACAGGTTTTGTCCTTGATACACTAGCGCATAGTTTCTCAAGTAGATTTGCAGGAAGATTTCTTCAAGCATCTTGTAGACGTTGCCACAGTTCTTCTGGGTTTAGTCTGCTGTCAGACTCCTTGTGCAAACAAAAACCTCACTGGATTATTACAATTAATGGCAAAATTAATGTTTGGAAATGTAAACTGATATTTCCTACGGACACAGCAAAAGATAGAAATAACTGACTTAAAAACATTTTTTGTTGGTGGAAATACTAATGGCCTAAGACTTTTGCACAGTACTGTATATAGTGACCAAAAATCTTTGGACATGAGTCACTTAAAAATGTATTAATTTGACTGTATTAGACAATAAAATATCAAAGCAAGTCTGCCCTTAAATACTGCTCAAATTTCACTTCTCTGACCCATTTGAATGACACTTTTATATATATTACAGTCTGAATGTGTTTGAGATATATATATATTTGTGTGCTGTCAATCGATTAAAAAAATGTATCGCAAATTTTTTTCTGAAATTAATCGCGATTAATCATGCTTAACATTAAAGTTTTTAAATATACTTTTATATTGCAATAATTTCACATTCAGTCTTCAAATAAAGTACAAATAACATTTTTTTGTTTTATATTTGTTTAATGGCGTCTTTTTATGACTGAAGGTGAGTATCACTGATAAGTGTTTTCCCCCTAATATTTAACCATTAACTACAGCAATTCAACATTACAGTATAATTAAGAGCTATCAATTTGAACATTTATTAGACTTTAAAAAATAACTTTTAATTTAAGTGAACTTAAAGCATTTTTCACATAAACCCATTATAATAAATATCATATTTAGCTACCTGTGCCCTTCAGCAAGTAGGAAATATACAGAAATTGAATAAAGTTATCAAACACTAAATTCTAAATTTAAATATAGATTAATCCTTAAAGCTACAAAAGTTATTGTTTTCCTCTTTTCTTTTGTTCTTTGATGAACAGACACCACAGCAGCTGGTTATGAGGCTATTTTGGCTGCTTTAAAGGAATAGTTCACCCAAAAATGAAAATTAGCCCATAAATTACTCGCCCTCAAGTCATCCTAGGTGTATATGACTTTCTTCTTTCAGACGAATCCAGTCGGAGTTATATTAAAAATTGTCTTTGATCTTTCAAGCTGTTTAATGCCACTCAGTGGTTGTTGCATGCATCAGTCCAAAAGAAGTTAAATAAAAAGTGCCCATCCATTAAAAAAAGTGTCTCTCACGGCTCTGGGGGGTGAACAAATGCCTCCTGTAGCAAATCGGTGCGTTTTTGTAAGAAAAATATCCATATTCAAAACTTAATCACTTTAATGTAGCTTGCGCCAACAGTTGTACACAGAAGCAGTTCTGGGCGGATGACGTATGAGATAAGCGTGAGTCTCGTGAAAACCAACGTTTGTTAACAGGAGCAAAGGAAGCAAAGTTTCCTTACTTTAGCAAAGGAAGACCAGTCTCCTCTTGGCTTATATCGAAATCCTCCGACATTCTTCTTTACAAATCCTCGTTTTGTACTTCTAATAAGTGACCGTTGTTTTGTTTTGATCTCTCCCCTGCGCTTCCGCGTTCGTCACTTCTGAGC